TACAAAGAACCTAAATACGGTATTAAATATCACAACTTATTTGATTACAAAAGATAAGTAACATTTTTTGTAACTTCAAAATCAACAACAATATTATTTTCTTTCTTTATCACAAATGACATTACAGTAATTAGCTATGTACAATACTGCCCCCCACCCCCATGGCAAAAGGGCATAACTGACAATTTTGGCGAAAATGAGTTATATAGACTAGTGGGGTCAGTACATCATGTTACACATGTTGACACAAAAAAAATTGTAAAGAAGTGTCCCCCACGCTAGATAAGGGCATGGCAAAGGCCATAACTACAAAATTTTCAGTAAATTCTCAAGGCAAACGGGCATAACTGCAAAGATAGTCTGTGATACGCTGAAGCGTGACGTTCTTTCAACAGCCAACCAATCAGAAGAGAGCTTTCTCCCTGGTTACAATGAAGGTTGCTTGTTAAGTTTTATTAGTTTTATTATACTTACTGTTTGTGTACTCACAATTTGTAAATAGAAATTGGTTAAATAGTATGATTCTTGACAGTAGCATATGTCTAGTTAATATTAGGCAAACATGAAGTCTAGTTAATTTATGCTATATAATCTTGCCTTACTTTGAATGGCAACAATTTAATACTATGGAAATAAACTATGGGAAAATAGTAAATGTTTAATAAAAAATAATTAACCATGGCAGAATAACAATTTACATTTTAACTAGAAATAACAGTGTCAAAGAGGGACAACAAAAACGATTATTTAGCAAATAACTATGGCAAAGAGGCACAACTACAACATTTATTTATAGCAAATGGCATAATAAAAAGGTATAACTGCACAGTTTACGCAAATCAACTGTGTTCACTAAGCAAACAACAACTTACTTTTCCATCTAAATCTAAATATATCATACATTTTCTAAATATTTTATTATAATATAAAAAAAACAATAATATTCAGAATCATTTTATTATTACTTGAATTTGGATCATAGAGAAGAATTTTTAATAATAATAATAATAATAATAATAATAATAATAATAATAATAATAATAATAATAATAATAGGCCTAATTTATATTGTAATTACATGACTTAAAATATATATTTATTATTTTACTTGGTAAATAAAATTTAAAAAATAATACTTTGTAAATAAAATTTAAAAAATAATTGTAATTCTTGTTTAACGTACACATAGAAACAGTCACACGCGCATTCTAACTAAACAGCAGTTCTATGTCATATACGCATACGCGTGCATCCTTCACGCAGTGACGTAACGCCTATGCGCTCTTGTACAGGGCCCCAGACCCCTAAGGTTCCATAAGGCCCCCTACCCACAGAGTCCTCGATATAGCACCTTGAGCCAAAAATGAATGATCTGACTTAAAATTGCGTTGAAAGGAACTAAACTGTGTACTTATATCCTTTTGCTTATTTTCTTTTTGCCAAAGAGACAAAAACAAATGAGCATTCTCCTGTACTGAAAAGTCCTGGAAATTTAAGATGGTCCTTGAATGTCCTGGAAATTTGATCATTTAATTAATTGCAGTACTACAATTTGCCTAGTAACAGATATTACAAGATATAATAATAATAATAATAATAATAATAATAATAATAATAATAATAATAATAATAATAATAATAATAATAATAATAATAATAACAATAATAATATCAAACAGGCCTGGATGTTTGTCATTGGATAAAGAAAGAGAAATAATATGTTATTTGAATAAAAAGTAATTCAATAAATTTCCAATAAAAATATGGTCACAATAGTAAATTTAAACTTAAAGAACAGTAAATAATTATCTTATAGTATAATGTATATATTAGGCTATTCCATGCCAAAATGGAATTGTATATAGATAATTTTGCTTACTTTGTAAATAAGTAAATAATAAGTAAATAGATATTTGTCACTGGTAATAATTTTTTTTTTTCACCTAAATATTTTTCCAAACATATCCAGGGATCAGATTATAAACTTTTTTGGCGTAAATAATAATGTTTTCTTTTTAAAATATGGGTTTATTCAGAAGTATTAGGCCTACAATTAGAATAAAAAAAGTTATATTCATGAATGATTTTTATATCATTTTATATTTATCTGATATGGTTTTTCAGAAATAACAACCATATATTATAAATCCCATCAATGTATTTTTTGACTAAAGTTTTTGAGAAATCACTATTAATTATTGAACTAAAAAAAGTTGAATAAGTAGAATAGTGCCTTTATGTTATATGGCCAGGCAAACTGAATTTTCACAAGCTGTAGAATGGGTACTGTAGCATGGGTTACGGTACTTTATTTTAGGTAAGTCATGGTAAAATTATGATTGAGAGGTATTACGTTTTTTGTTCCATAATTATAAACATTGCTATTTGGACAGTAATAAGAGTAGTTACCTACTATGTTCTATTACTTTTGAAACTTTCAAGAATAATAAATAATGATTGTTTTTAAAAAAATTAAGTGAGAAAGTGAAATATCACTGAAAAAGAAAATAATAGTCATTGCATTCTACAGGTATCACACAAACTAATAAAATAATTATTTATACAGTATAATTATATCAATAGTAATGAAAGTACAAATAATATTACAAAATTATTATATGGGATAAAAAAAGAAAGCGAGAAATAAAATATAGTCATTGCTTTATACAAGTATCACAAAAACCCGATAAAATAACTATAATGTAGTATTTATCAATAGTATTGAAGGTATTTTAAAAACAAAGAAATAAAATATCATATAAAATTATTATATAGGCTCTTCATAGCAAATCCCCTTATAGCACTTGTCAAGAATATATTTAGTAATGAATAGTAAATATTTATTTGTGGCAGAGCCAAGCCAAAGGAGGGATGTCGAAATTTTCAAAATTGAGTTTTGTACATATTATGAAACTAGATATTATTATCTTCAAAAAAAACACTTTGATATGGTAGTTTATTGCACAGTTATCGGCAATTAAAGTTCGGATACTTGGTAGGTGTATTTTGAGAAAACTGGATTTGAAAATCAGATTTTATGTCTGTACGCTAGGAAAAGCTTCCGTAAATACCATTTTAGAGCATTTATTGATTATAAATCAGAGAAAGGTAAATGTAGGATGAAAGTTAAATGTTTAATATGCATGTTTTAAAAATGACTGATTTCACGTTTGTGCATTTATTGGAAAACTGCCTGTGAGAATTATCCCTCCTTTGGCTTGGATCTGCCACATTTGTGAATAATTGTCATATCAATACACTGGAAGTGAAAATATTCAAAATTTTTACTTTACTTTATGTAAATGAATAAATGCTATTAGTAAATAAAATTGTAACAGTACTACCATCTGTAAATTTTTATATAGGATCTGTGTGTAAATATTACTTTGCATTTTTAACTAATATCCAAACTTCATGGGTTATAAACCAAGCTTAGGAAGGTCATTTACCTTAAGGTCATTTGCCTTAATTCAAGTGACCACACATCATTTGGGAATGTTGATGAGTTTCCCAGGTACTAGACAAGGACAGGCAATTACTAATCCTTATTGGTAAGATGGTATGAAAGGTGATGCTATATCACATACATTTGTACTTTTACAGTCACTCCTCAGTTTGTCCTCCCTGAGTACACATTACTTTCGCTTTCTATCAATTTGTATATATCATCAACTTGTTTCTCAAGTGTTTTTGTAAATACGCCTTTCACTTGGAATAAATTGTACAGTTCTACATATAAATTAGTGTGGTGTATTTTTATCATCTCATCGTACACTTACACTAAAAAGTAAATAAATACTGTAAAAAATAAAGATATTTGTCATTGGTAATAAAGAAGAAAGAAAATAATATTTATTTATTTATTGTTTGTAATAAAATAAGAAAATTAGAAAGATGAAAGGACACTAAAAGAGTAAATGAAATGTTGACTGTAAAAAAAAATATTTTCTAGAAACCACTCAATTGCATAATTGAGAGAAGCTATCCAGTTTTGCATATGGAGTACTAAATGTTTATACCTAGGTAGGCTACACCCAGTTTGTAATTCATAATACACAAAAGAATAAAAGAGGTCTGACACAAAAAAAACTCCTAGTACTACAGCCAAACACCCTATTGTGCACCCAACTTACAATAGTGTAATCCATTATTGGGTGGCTTTCGACAGGGTGGCTTTCTACCGATTCCTAAATGTAACATGGGTAATTATATTGGAGAGGCTGGCACTAAACTAAGATACAGACTCAATAATCATTTTAAAAAAAATCAATTAGAGATAAATGTAAGGGATTTCCTGTGAGTGACCATTTCAATTCATCATTCATTTCTTTCAATTTCTAATTATCGTTTTCATCAGCATAGGTGGTGACTGCAAATCTACTAAAGATAGACGTTTCGCGGAGTTACGATGGATATTCCGAATTAAATCACATACTAAGGGACTTAACAGAGATCTAGGCTTTGCTAGTGGCTATACTTTCACGAATTACTAATTACGCCCAGCATTGTCTTATTGTTATTCACGGTTATTTCATAGCTCATGGTTTACTTACTTTATAATGTTTTTGTTCATTCACGTTGAGAAAGTTCTGAGAACAGGACGAAATATTCGAGTGCAATAAAATGTTTGAAAGGCAAATGGGAAAACCCATAAAACAGCAAACGGCCATATAATGCAAAACAATTTAAAATTAAAACTAGATTTGAACTCGTCACTGAGGACGAGTTCGGTGATCCGCCGTACTTTGACCCTCATAAAACTCACGCGGTGCTGATTGAAAGTGTCATTATATGCTAAAATATGCTGTAATTAGGTTTTTAAAAAAGAATAATTTTGAGCCATGTCCTCTTTAGCGTGGAATGTAGAGGTAAAAAATCTGTGTATAAGTCAAGAAAATTTTGTCCTCACATAGATAGGTTTACGACTATGGGTGTATGTATGTATGTATGTATGTATGTATGTGTGTATGTATGTATGTATGTATGTATGTATACATATATATAATATATACCGATAGTAACTTGGATAAATTACATTGATTTCATTATACTTACAACTGCCTTAAATCCATTGTGTCTTTAAAGGTTCTGTTATTGATGAATGTCACATTATTACCATCTAGGCCCCTGGAAAAGTGAACCGTTTATGTTATTCACCTACTACACACACACACACCCACACACACACGCACCCACGCCCACACACACAATTGGAATTGCCTTACGTATTCAAGCAGCAATCAAGAAAACAAATTGCCTGAATACTGGTACTGGTATTGGGTATTTATTATTGTGAGTATTCTGAAATAGTCAAGAAAATAATATAATAATACGACAGGTGATTTAATTATTTTAATGGGGATGTGTTGCAGTTTAGCCTATTTTAATACAGGTCATGCTTTTGGTAGTGTATTCAGGCACAGGCAATCCATAAAGTGACTGCTCTAGTTGCATTGCATTACTGAATATTTTAAAGGTACGCATTATTTTGTTGCGCTGTGTACTATTGCGCACTTTTCTGATAATAGTGTTTTCTTATCTTTTCATCATTTTTAATTATATGTAAAGTGTATTTATATCTCAGGGGTATTCGAATATTACCTGATACATTCTAGTACTTTTTTTAATATTAAGACTTGAAACAAATGTTTCTACAGTATTTAAAAAAGTAAATGTATTCAGAAAAGTAACATACACTCTAATAAGAGCAGATAGGCCATCAAAAGCTCCATCAATTGATTGTATACTGTTGTAATTAGCAGATCTGCAAAGAAAATTATTAAACACAAGGCGTTAGCATACTTTATCATTGATTCTCAATATATATGAATAATACATTACTGGAGACATGACATCAAAATACAAAAAAAAAAGAAGGAATGGAAGTAATTCAAACCAAAAAAATGTTAAGTAATATTGAAACTGATTTTTAAAGTTTAATTTGAAGGTTAACACTAGTGTGTTTAAAATACATACTAATTACAATGACCCAAACGGTGTTTTTAATTAAGTATGTACGATTTAGGGCTCACTCGCTGGTTTTTTTATGTTTATATATTATATTTTAATATTTATTTAACTGGAGTTTAAGTGTGGAAACTGAATTTTCATGTATCTAATTCGAATTAGATTGTATCTTGTGTTTAATATCTTTTTTAGGCTTGCAATTGCATATCAAATTCGAAGCGTATTTGGTACTATTGTATAATTCGTCCTTAATTCCATCACAATTTGTTATGAATTTTGAACATAAATCGCTGCGCGTAAATATAAACTTTTATTTCGCAGATTCAATGCATAAACAAACCACGGCTCCCCCCCCCCCTTTGTACACAGTGTTAAAATTTTGGAATAATGGAATATCCATAGAGGCTGGGAATTCTTTTTAGTAACGAACAGCAAACCACCATGGACACCCTCCTCCTGACATCCAAATGACATAAGTTAAACAACTTGAGCCGATCCTTGTAGGAAGAACGATCTTCATATTTCCTACTATGAATGACCTTGTCGAAGGCAGGCGTAAAATCTAAGAGGGTACACGAATATAGAGGGTATAAATGTACAAGAATGCCTATCAAATTTAAAAGTCCAATGATGATAAAGATTTGCTAAAAGCAATTCCGTATTCCCTTCCGAAACCCATGCCGATAATTGCATGGTCATCAAGGTAATTTAAAATGGGTCTCAAGCAAGACTTTCATAAACTTTATTGATGACAGAGGACAAGGATACGGGACGGTAACTACAAACATTATCCTTCGGTTTGTTATTCCCTTTATACACTGGCACAATGTTGGCAGTTTTCCAAGACGAGGGGATGATACCTTCCATTAAGACATGTGAAAAAATATTACAAAGCCCAAAGGAGATAACTCTACGACCCTGATTGAGAACTCTCGGACTGATACTATCGGGACCCATAGCTGAGATTGCATTCAGAGACTCAAGGATGCTAAATAGTTGCTCAACATCAACCTCAACATTGCCTATAAGCGGAACATTATTATTGTGGAGCAACACCAAGAAGCAAATCGATATTATTGATAAATATATTTTGCAAAGTTGTTGAGAAAAGAAACAAACGAACCCTGATTAAAAAAAAAATAAAGAGTGAGATGGAGCACCTTTATTGAGCGAATATACATAAATAACGCAAAGATTTATCCCTGTCAAGACCTTTCACGTAATGTTTGAATGAATATCGAGTGTACAATGTTTTCTTTTTTTGTACACATTTCTGGTGTAATTCATCTTTTATTCCCCATTTAAAATCAGCTCTACGCATCGAATCATTCATGGCTTAAGTAATTTATATCAACCCACCCTTTCTAAATAACATCTTTGTCATGAAGAAGATCATAAGGTATACATGCTCAAAATGATTCCAGTCAGCTTTACCATACTAATACGTTAGGCGAGCCACATGTTTTTGATAAGATGTTCAAAAATTGCATTCAATATGCACCGCGAAATGATCACATAAAGTTTGACTATCAATAACTGCTACATTAGTAACAGGAAATTGTGAAAAGACCCAAACATGATCCAGTATGTGGCCAAAGCCTGCAAGTGTCATGTACATGTGACTGTCAACCAGTTGAGACATACCAATACATAGTCACTGATTGAAGAAATATGATAAATTAGCAGGCCAATTAACTGCCTCAATTTAAATTAAAATTTCCTAACAAATAAACAGCCCACAATTTCGGGCACTTAGCAATAGCATTGTTTACACAATTAAACATTTCAGAGTCAAGAGAAGCATTAAAACTTAGTGGTCTGTAACAAACACCAATCTGCATTACGCCAGTCCTCGACTGAGCTTGTATCCACATTAATTCACAAGACTCGGAGGCTGATTCTAGATCTGTGCGGTGGCATGGGTTTAAGCATAAACGACCAGCTAGCAAAACACCTCCACCATGCCTATTGCTATCCCATCTGGAGGCAACAATAGTCATTAAGCAAACGTTCACCATCATTAATACTTGAATCCAACCAGGTCTATTGAATATGAATAAGTAGACAACAATTTTGGAAGCAGACTGTAAGCATTAAATGACAATATTGACAGTAAATTTGTAGACAATGATGGGGTGGTACAGTATAGGATCGTTGTATATCTAAATTGGTTCCAAATAAAGGAATGACAGGCTTTTAAAATGGCATCGAGGACAGATTCAATTAAAAGTAGAAAATAATATTAACACAAAAAACTACCGAGTTGAAACACGCCCACACTTAATATGGCAATTTATAGCGCTATGATCACAGTCAATCACATAGCTCGATGATTGGAGGTAACAGATTTTTTTTCCAAACTGAACATGCAATTTTCACTGGCCCAAGATTGGGATAAATATCTCCTGAAAGCAGATGAATATTAAATGATGCCGTATAAGTGTTATAGTAACCACACCACCAAATTTTCATCTTCCAGGCCACATCGCAAAGCTAAGCCGGAGACATTCTAAATTCCATCGTGCAGGGATATCGTCAGCTGTGAGACAATTTCCTGGCCTAGCTGGTCCTAGCAAATACAAGACGATTTACCAGTCCAAAAGGTCGAAACAAAGTTATAGGACCTCATATTGATGACAGTCACACAAACACTAGATGAGGTTAATAATGCACTTTCAAGGAAAATCAATGTTATAACTGTACACATTCAAGTACCACGTCCGTCCACCATAATGGCTTGCAGCTATAGTAGATCATTACATGTTCCCGGTCTTTTTTCTTCTTCTAAACAAGCGTTAAGCTAGCGAAATGTCAACACCTTCTGTTGGCGTATTTCGCCAAATGGTTAGGTTTTTACGTAGAAATCTCCATGATTTGGCTTGGTCTTCTCCATTAAACGCTTTGCGAGCTTTACAGTACTTTCCACTTTACCATTAATCTGTGGATATTCTGGCAGTTCGCAAACTCATGTCAGTTATACGGTGGTCCATTGTCAGATAGAACGATATCTGGGATCTCGCAGTTGGAGAAATGTTTGTTAAGGTGTGTTTTTTTATGATTGTAGATGCATCTTTTTTTACCATGTAGGTTGTCAATATTGAATTAGTCTCAGCAATAATCTCTGCTGTGCATAGGTAGTCTTTCCCATCCCGTGTTAATATATCACATCCAAACTTACCCCACGGTCGTGACGATTAATGGCATTTTCCGTTGGCATGATTGAAAGTATTGCATGTTTCACACTTGGATATAGTCTTTTTTTTGTCACTGTTCAATGCAGGCCAATAAACAGACTCTCTGGCCAGTAGAAGTGTGCTTTTTACACATGTGTGCGCTGCATAAAGTTGCTGACGGATTTAAGGTTTCAGGGTCTTTGGAATTATACATCTTTCTTCGTTGGGATAGTATGGGTTTGCAGTGCGTGATCAATTCAATGGTACACTTTGGCCCTCGGGTATCCCAGGAGACACAGTATACTTCATATTGTTCTTAGGATTTACAAGTGGCATCTTACAAACTCCTAGAACGGGAATAGTTGCATGGTTATCACATAGTGAGAGGCTCTCCTTACGTCCTTAGACAAATCTTTACGTGGTAGAACGTTGCATGTTGCACAATTGTCTACTTGCATAATATAATATATAACTTTTTGATTGTTGCCATGATCTTATTTGTAATTTATTGATTTTTCATCATTGTCCTCTATTTTTCTAATTACATCTATTTGCCATGACTTCAAAGTCAGACTCGTCATCACTGTGTTCATATAATGCATGAACTTTATGTTTACACTTTTGCTTTAGTCTATTTTGCGGCTTCTGTCTCGACTCACTAATTCTCTATCACGTTTGCCACAGCTTAAACAGGATTTGTCATGCAGGGGATTTAGTTTTAGCCAGTTCGTGTGCTTTTCACAATATCTACAGTTGTTTGTGAAATCCTTGCACGACTGGTCTTTTTTGTTGACTTTTAATTAAAGATGTATTGTCCCTTTAAAATGACAAAAACAAAATTTAGAAAATAATTCTAAAATTAACTTGCTCATTTTGCAGTAACATATAAATTATAACTTAAGCATATAAGCTATTTATTTTTTTTAATGATTTTTAAACTAGACAATTATAATAAAGATAATAAAACAGTTCCAGTGATTGGAAGTGTTTCCATTATTTTTCGCTGTAAAATGATGGAAAAACATTTTAAGTTCAAGTTGATAATGTTGATGTTATTTCAAATGCGCAGCTTTACAAAGCGATACATTTGTCTAGAGTTAGACTCGCTTCCTGTAGTAGCCGCTTGTGAAGTGTGTCGTCTGATATTCAAAATACTATGCAGTCTCGGATTAAATCATCACTTAAATTTCCAAAATTGAATGACTGTGCTAATCCTCTCTGTTATGACTAATATGTATCAAATCGATCAACTGCTTGTACGCAATTATTAATCTTGTATCTTTCATAAATGATGTTTGTTTTTCCTTTGCAATGTTCCTCCCAGAGTGTCAGAATAACATAAATACACACGCCCTTGCTTGTTTGACGTATTCCAGGCTTGCCACCTTTCAAATTGTTTTCGGCGTTCATTAATCCCACCAGATTTTTCGAAGTGCATTTCTGACAACATGTAAAATAACTAAGTTCACGACTATAATTATTGAGGAACACTAATATCAACATTTAAATCTCATAAAATCTCAGATTTACAATTCTTTAAAAATGGCGAGATCGTACGACAGGTTCTACGCTTCACGCGAGCGCATAGAACTTAGTAGACTTGCCACAAGTCTCTTATTTCTTATTATTTTTCTCATTCCGGACAGCGCCACCAACGAGAAAGTTAATTTAGAGATAGACGGAATAAGCGACTTGTAAAACACTGAAATCAGGCACCAGGATGCCAAAAGAAATGACGTAATCTTATATTCCGTATTTGGATAAATGGGCGGACCGAAATAAACAATTTCAACCAATCAAATGTTTATATTTTTGGAGCCACGAAACTGAGTCACTCGCGTCGACTAGTTAGGCATGACCCTAGTAAGACTATGTTAGGAATAGACCCTAGTAAGACTAATTTTGGCAATGGAAAAAACAATTAAGCTTAGACTAGATGGCATACCATACAAATACAACAAAACTTCAACTTTCCAG